ATATTGGTCTGTAATTTTCTTTTTTGGTGGGGTCTTTGCCTGGCTTTGGTATTAGAGTGATGCTGGCTTCATAGAATGAGTCTGGAAGTATTCCCTTCTCTTCTATTTTTTGGAAAACTAAGGAGAATGGGTATTATGTCTTCTCTGTATGTCTGATAACACTCCGCAGTAAATCCATGTGGCCCGGGGGTTTTGCTCTTGGGTAGTTTTTTGATTACCGCTTCAATTTCATTGCTGGTAATTGGTCTGTTCAGATTTTCTGTTTCTTCCTTGGTCAGTCTTGGAAGGTTGCATTTTTCTAGGAAGTTGTCCATTTCTTCTGTGTTTTCCAGCTTGTTAGCATATAGTTTTTTGTTAATTTTGTTTTTTTAAGAGTGTTTTGTCACACAGAAATGTTTAATTCTTACGCAGTGCAGTCCATCTTTTTCAATTAAATAAATATTCACATTTCTTTGAGAGGTTGTTGGGCTTTTTTTGCTGCTTCTAATTGCATCGTGAAAATGTGTGAGCACGTATGGCTTTGGGTGTGGCTGGGTGTGGTCATGGGGTGTGGCTGGTGAGTGCGGTTGGGGGTGGCGGTGGGGGGTTGTGTGTGTGTGAATCTCCTCAGTCGCCTGTGTCTGGCTTGGAGCCTCTGCCCCTCGGGCCGCTGGCCCCTGTATCCAGCGGTCAGGCAGAACAAACCTCTTTGTTTTTCCTCAACAATTTCTTAACCATTTTAATTTTCTCCTTCAAATTTTAAAACCAGCTTGTTGGCTCCATAGTAAAAAAGTAAAACTTGTGCTGAACTTTTCACTGGCCTGCTCGGAATTCTTGGATTGATTTGGGGGATATTCCCTGCCCTGACCTTCCTGTACAAGAACGCAGAGCATCTCTCCAGTTGATAGTTTCTCTTTTACATGCTATGTGTGTTTGTGGTTAGTAAGTTTATTCTTAAGAATTTCCAGGTTTTGTTGCCATTGTGAGTAGAGTATAACCTCCTACGACAAACCTGGGGGGTCATTGCTGGTGACAGTTGATGTTCTGTGTTCAGCCACCTCACCAAGTTCTGATTGAGTTGGTGGCCATTGAGTTTTGGTTTTTGGCCCTGGGAGAGAGAGAGTGTGAGAGAGAGAGAGAGAGAGCGTGTGTGTGTGTGCGCGTGCGTGCGTGCGTGCGTGTGCACGGTGAGTGGCTGTCTTTGGGGGGTGATGTGGGAGTGGGGTCTTCAGTGTGCGTGTCTGGGGCACTGGCCAGGTTCGGACCCCTGACACCAGAGGCCCCGATGCTGCTGCCTGTGATCACTGTCAGCTGCTATTCACCTGGCTAAGGACGTGCTTTTCTCATCCTGGCTTGTGAAGAGTTTTCTCTGTGAGGAAGGGTGGGGGTGATGGCTGCTAAGCAGATGCTTTTTGCTGTTTTCCAAAGCGCCCCTCGTGGGTTTTCTCTCCGGCCTGCTGTGCGTCAGAGTGGATTTCATCGCACTCTGGTGGTACACGGATAGATTCATGTATGAACATCTTTTTGGTAGTTTTTACATCTGTGTTTGTCGGTGACGTTGACCGGGCCAGACTCTGTGCTGTCTTTGGCCAGCTTTGTTCTCAGGACTCAGCCAGCCTCAATGTCGGTGGAGGCTGTTTGCCTCCTGGTTGCCATAATAGAGGGGTTTTCTTTCCTGGAGTTTCATAGTTACAGACCTCCCTTAAATCCACCTGAGATTGATGGCTTTAGAGGGAGTTTTGTTTCTTATTTTTTTCCCCTTAGCTCTCACTTGTAAAATCGTAAACCTTCAGAAAAGCTGTGTGAGCAGAGAGAACAGCCCCTGTACCTGACCTGCTTCCCCATGTGGTTTTTGGGGCAGAGCCAGAGGAAAGCCTGCCTCGGCCTGCACCGTCTCCCTGCCAGAGCCGCGCCACTGCCTGCTGCCGTCCCTGCACTGTTCGCACCCAGACCCCTGGTTGGGCCTCCAGCTCCACCTAAAATCCCAAAATCCAGCCAGAATATCCTTGGTCTTCTCTGGTCTGTGCCCAGCTCTTTTTTATCTTTCATGACGTTGAATCGTTAATGGGAAGTACAGTTCTTTTGCAAATCATCCCTTCGTCAAGGCTTGTCTGAGTTTTTGAGTTAGGTAAACGGTGAAAAGTCCCTGCCCCTCTGCCCCTGTCCCCCAGCCCTCCCCAGGACCAGCAGGCACGGACAGGCACGCACACACCCGCACTCTGTGGGCGGTGCAGGCAGGGCGCGCACACTGCACCCCCTCGCGGGAGAGCAAAGGGCAGGAGCGCCCCCACACCGCACCTAGCGGGAGGCCGTCCCGATGGGGCGGTGCGCGCATCCAGCTCCCATTTGTCCCCGCGATGTCCCAGGCATGCTCCATGCTGGTAGCGATCCAGTCCTCGGTCGTACCTTGTGTAGCTGTCTCACCTTTCTGTGTCATGACAGTCACATTTTTGCAAAGAGCACCGCCATGTTCTTCTAGAACGCTCCCCTGTTTGCGCTTGCTGACATTTCCTTGTCTTGAGATCAGGTTGGGTGCGCCAGGTCGGAGCAGCTCACGGAGGACACGGTGTTGCATCCGCGGGCACACAGCATCTGTTTGTTCCTCTTTTCAATTTATTTAAGAGAAATTCACATAACCATTCTGAGTAGATGGTTCAGGTGGCAGCACCGTGACAGTGTTGTGCGGGCACCACCTCTCTGAAGGTCAGAACCTTTCCGTCGCTCCCGAGTAATCCCCCGCGCAGCGAGCGTGTTCTCACCTCTCGTGCCCAGCCCTCGGCAGCCCATCAGTCCTGCTCTGTCTGTGGGACCTGCCGGCTCCGGCATCAGGTGTCGCTGGCGTCGCAAGGTGTGTGGCCGCTCGTTTCCGGCCTGTCTCCCTGGGCATCGTGTTTCCGAGACTCGTCCAGCTGCAGAATGTGGTGTGCACAGCTCCTTGTTACTGCTCACTGTTCTTCAGCTCTATTCATGGTCCCCCATGGACATGGGGCCTGTTTCCGCCTGTGGCCATGGTGAACTGTGCTTCCGTGAGCATGTGTGTGCATGTATTCGATGAGTACCTGTTTTCACTTTGGGGTGTGTACCTAAGGATAGAATTGTTGGGTCATATAATAATTCTCTGTTTAAGCTTTTTAGAGACCAGCAAATTGTTTTCACAGCGACTACAGCATTTTTACTTCCCCCACTGATGTGCAAGGGCTAAGATTTCTCCACATCTGTGCCAACACTTAACTTTCCTGTTTTATTTTGATAGCCAGCCGAGCCTGGCAGGTATGAAGTTGTATCTCATTGTGGTTTTGATTTACATTTCTCTAGTGATGAGTGACATCAAGTATCTCTCTCATGTGCTTGTAGGCCATTTGTGTACCTTTAGAGAAATGTCTCAGGTCTTTGCCCTCTTTGTAAATGAGTTGTTTTTGTTGATGGATTGTAAGAGTTCTTTATTCTGGATACTAGACCCTTATCAGATATGATTTGCAAGTATTTTCTCCCATTAGGTAGGTTGTCTTTTCACATTCTTGATAAGGTCCTTTGATATACAAAAGTTTCTAGTGTTGATGAAGTCCAGGTAATCTTTTTTTCCTTTGTTGCTCATGCTTTTAATGTCATATGTAAGAATCCATTGCCAAATCCAAGGTCATCAAGATTTATTCCTGTTTTCTTCCATGAGTTTTATGGTCTCACCTTCTATGTTTATTAGTTCATTGATAGACATTGTGAGTGTTTTGTATATGGTGTGAGTAGAAGTCCAACTTCATTCTTTTGTATGTGGCTGCCCAACACCATTTGTTGAAGAGATTGTTCCTTTCCCTGTTCAGGAATGGTCTTGGCACCCTTGTCAAATCAGGTGACCGTAGGTATGTCAAGTCATTTCTAGACTCAGTACGTACCACGCTCTTGCAGTTACTGTGGCTTTGTAGTAGTGAGCTAGGGAAGTGGAGTCCTCCAGCTTTTCTTACTCAGTATTGTTGTGACTATTCTGATCTCCCTTGCCAGTTCCATATGAATTTGAAGATAGGCTTTTCCTTTTCTACTCCCCCCCCCACCCCCCAAAAAAAAGCCACTGGAATTTCAGTAGGGATTGCTTTGAATCTATAGATCACTTTAGGAGGTAGTATTGACACCTTAACAATATTTAGTCTTCTGATCCATGAAATTAGGATATCTTTGCATTTATATAGCTCTTTAGTTCCTTTCAGCAATGCTTTAAAGTTCAGTGTATAAATCTTTCATCTCCTTGGTTAAATTTTATTCCTAGCTATATTTTATTATTTCAGATACTATGTAATTGGAATTGTTTCTTAACATTTTATGTTTTTTTATTGCTGGTATAATAGAAACACAATTCTTTGTGTATTGAACTTGTACCCTGCAATTTTGCTGAATTCATTTAGGAGTTTTTTGGTGAGTTTTGAGGGATTTTTCTACACGTAGAATCATGTCACCTGTGAACAGAGATGGCTTTACTTCTTCCTTTCCAACTAGGAGAGCTTTCTTTCCCTTTTCCTCCCTAATTGCTCTGGCTAGACCTGCTAGTACTGTGTGAGAACAGGCGTCCTGTTTGCTCTGAATCTCAGGGGGAAGCTGGGACTTTCGCCACTGAGCCGGGGGTTCTTTGTGGACCCTGAGGAATGACGTTCCTGTCCATGCCTCGTGCTTCTGTTGTGAGAGTGTGGTGGCTGTGACTTTAGACCACTTGGTTGTGTGGCGTCTCTGCTCCCTTCACTGCAGAGCTGCTCTCTCCTTCTGTGATCACAGCCACCGAGTCATTTGTGGGGTGGGACCTTGGTTTACGATCTCTCACCAGCAAGGTTAAAAACCAGGTGAAAAGCTGGTTGAGTGTGTGTTCTCATAACTAGGAATGAGAGGGAAGATGCCACACCTGTCCTCACCCAGAATGCTGGACAGAATGCCCCCCATCCACAGGCCCACGGTGGTTGATGCTCATGCTGTCCCCCTTCTTTGTGTTAACAGCCTGATTCGGATTCTACCAAACATTCGACTCCATCGAACAGCTCCAACCCCAGCAGTCCACCAAGCCCCAATTCCCCCCACCGGAGCCAGCTCCCCATCGAAGGCCTGGAGCAGCCGGCCTATGATGCCTGAAGCCACCAGGCCACTGCCTCACAGCCGTGGGGCCGGGGATGGCCTCCCACGTCAGTGCCAAGACCGCGCTGATCCTCCAGCATTGCCCAGGGAAATGCAGTCGACTTGTAGATAGGGAGATGAAGAAGAATCTTTATTATGGTGACTAGATTTATGCCACATTGTCTGTGGTGTTGACTGGATCCCTTTGTCCACACAGCTGTGAGGTGACACTGTCCCTTTATGCGTGAAGGAACCACACAGCTTCCCAGAACAGGCTAAGAAGGCGTGTAGGGCCCTGCCGACCTCCTGTGCAGAAGCCCAGTAGACCCAGCACGGCTCTGCTCAGGAAGCAGGTGGCTGGGGACGTGGCCTCAGAAATGAGCCTGTTGCCTGTTCCTGGAGCTATGTCCTCAGACCTCCGAGGAGCGGGCATTTGTGGATCATTCCCAGTGTCACTGGAATCCTGAAGACAGGGAAGTGGAGGTTAGGGCGCGGCCTTCTTACTCATTTAGCCATTACACAGCAGCTGCAGAAGTCCTGCCGACCTTGCAGTGGACAGAGGCCCGTTCCAGGTGACGCCTGCCTGGGCCCCTTGCGTGTGTGACTCCATTCCTGGTCACAACCATGAAGTGTCCCCAGTACCTACTGTGAAGTCAGCTGTGCTGTTCCCCACTCACTTCCACAGCTTCTGCCTCCCACTGTAAAACTGGTGAGTGGTCATGCAGCCAGGCCTCCCCCAACCCCCGCATGGAGTCCCATGATCAGTACCCAAATGGATCGCGTAGACTCGGCCGACGCAGGCCTGCACGTTGGCCCTGCCCGAGGCGTGGGGATGCTCTGTGCGTGCATTCACTCCCCATCCTTGTTCAGACGTTGAGTGATCAGGTTTGTGGTCTGATTAAAGGCTTGTGATTAACTGGCCAGCAGACATAGCTTGTCCTTGGTGACGCCATTTAGGATGTGCACTTAGCTGAGTCGGCACTGAGTGATGTGGGCACCACGGCCTGTCTGTGCGTGTCGCCCCACCCCCACCCCAGCACCCACCACCCCTGGGCGTTCTGCTGGGACTGGCACCTGCTGGGGAGAGGGGTCTGGTTTTTACTTTTTTAATGTAAGTCTGAGTCTTTGTAATTATTGAAACGTGAGAACATTTTTGAACAATTTACCTGTCAATAAAGCAGAAGATAGCAGTTTTAAAGTTCTTGGTGGTTCACCTGAATGTGATGCCTGTCAACCCTGGGTGTATCTGGGTCCCTAGTGCCTGTGCTGGGAACCCCTCCCCAGAAGGCACCTGTGTGCACATGGCAGGAGCCGGCCTCCAGAACTGGGACCTCTCACCTGCCAAGGGGCGGTGGGGTGGGGGGGTTTCATGAAGGGCACCCTGCACTGTGGTGGGCAGGGCCCAGCCTGTACTGCCAGGTGAAGGAGGGGCCATCTGGCTGGTTGTCCCCACTAGGCCTCCAGGTGGCTGCAGCAGCCAGGGCAGGGGTTAAGATTTCACCCTGAGCTGGGGTGGGGGGAGGGTGATGTGCCCATGAGCTTCCACAGGCAGAACAAGGGCCCCATAAGTGGGGATTGCAGGAGTAACAGGGATTGAGGTGCTGGCCCCTCGTAGCCCTACGGACAGGACAGGGTAAGTCAGAGCCACCAGAAGCAGGGGAAGCTTGAGGCGGGGCTGGGTGGCTGACCACACATTGGCTGAGCCCAGACAGGTCAGTTTCCCATAGGGCACAACCTGTAGTGAGTTGGGTGATATTTGCATCAGGACCCCCCAGGAAGTACTTGGTAAAATGAGGGCAAATAGCACCTGCCAAAAGGCGGAGCAAGGATATGATGAAGTGTAGCAAGCAGCTGTCCAGTGCCTGGCAGGGGTGCCGCTTGGGAACCATGGTGCCCAACATCTGTGCCAGCCGGCAGGCCTTCACACAGTCATTTGGGACCCAGGCCCCTCTCACTGGGGCCTCCATGGTCACAGCCAGGGAAGGAATGTGACACATTTTAGGGGCATGGGCACCAAAGCTCTGCCAGAAGGAGTTCACATCCCATCTGCCCCATTGCCTTAGCCAGTCACACCACCCCCAACCTCCCAGGGGACAGAGAAGACCCCCCCCCCCCACCCAGCCCCTGCCCAGGCCACACAACGTACAGGCAGAGCCTTTCACAGACACTTGAGTGAAACCAGAAGCTGAAAAACGAGTGGGGATGAGTACGCACTTGAAAAAAGCCGGAAGTGACGTCCCAGCGCCTGCCATGGGGCTGAACAGCTGCTCGAGTGTCAAGGACTAAGAACAGTGAAGCAGCTGTTGTGCCAGAACGAATGGTGAGATGTGCACAGTAGACTGTCTGCTCCATAGCGCAGAACATGACAGGTTATAGCCACACTACGTGGTAAAGATCCCAGAGAGGCTGCTGGCGACAGAGCTTGACGTCTGGTGACAGGAGCTTCAGAACTGGCAGGTGAACCCACTGTATAGAAGCCAGCAGCGGCCGTGCAAGGGCTGGTGGTGTTTCAGAGCCAGATTCTGGTCACACAGAAGGGTCTCCCTGAGATGAACCTCACACGCAGCCGTGAGTCACCCCCGCACTGCCCAGTGCTGGGTGGGTCTCGGGCACCCACAGGAGGGCAAGGCCCTGTGGTGACGGACCACAGCGACCCCACCCCCCAGCTGGACGCCCCCTGCAGAGCAGATGGGCCACCTGTCCCTCCAGGAGAGCATCCCGAGGACAGCTCAGTCTAGTGGATGCCTGTGTCTCTGTCCCAGCCCCTCACAGCCTGGGCCTGAGCAGTGTGAGACTGAATTAAACTAAACAGCTGGGAGCCCAGAAGGTGGAGCACCCCCCACCACCCCAACGTGGCCTTCATTGCAAACCCAACAGGGGCTAGAGCTGCTCCTCCCAGCAGCAACCCAGCCAACAAGAAACCCCCGCCCTGGGCCCCCGCAGCGGCTTTCTCCAGTGCCGCCCCACCCAGCCTCCCCCTTTTCCTCCATAAAGGTCCCAAACCTGCGTGTGTGCCCTAGCTCATGGGTCTAGAATTACAATTCCCCTGCCATTATCAAATAAACTTAATTTGCTGGTAAAATAACAGGTTGTTCGACTTTCAAGTCCAATATTACTTGGAGTCAGAATCCCAGGGGGACCCCTAAAAATTCTAAAGCCGGTGAGCAAACAGGTGCTGGGCCCCCCACCGGCCGTGGGGTCTGGGGGTATGTCTCCTGGGTCTGGGTTCCTCTGTCTTTGAGGTTTGAGCTCTCTGACTTTATTCAGAATCTGCTTTAATGGCTTCATCCTTTCTGGGTGTGTTAAGGCTTCATCCTTTTGGTAAACACTCATTTGTTTTTTGAGCTAAGATTATGGGGTCCGAATCCTCACGTTTTCTCAACGGGTCTTCCTTCTTGCATCTTGGCTGATACCACGTTTAAAGACCACACTTCATGTGCATTTTTAACTGTGGACCGACTTAGCTGAAGGTGATGCAGACCTTCACTAGCCATTGTGGGGGACTGCGGGTCTCTCCGAATTTACTTTTCTCAAAATCAAATTAAAAGACCATACCTCTAAATTTAAAAAAGGGAATGGAATGCCTATTTTAATTGGTACTGGAAGGTTCCCAAATGTGTTTTGGACTCTAAAATCACTTCTTAGCAAAATACTATTTCTAAATTAATGGAGGCAAACGAACAGTTGAATGACGTCAAAAATGGCTTCTCATGCCTCTGTCCTTCCCTGGCGTCATCGCCAGAGGTGTGAGAGCCGCCGGCGCCCAGGCTCCGCCTCACAGTCCTCGTCCTCTTTCCCTTTGGCACCGTGCCCGCTTTCTCAACCTATCAGAACCTGCCCCTTGAAAAGCCTTGGTTTCTTATGCCTCCTGGACTAAAGCTGAATTACAAGTGATAGTTATTCCCAAGGTGACTGAGATTCTTCATAGATTTGCTGACATTTCTAACATAATCATTCAAACTTATTAGCCTAGTTTCTCAGATTTGTTACCAGGTAGCTCACGTGCTCATCTGTGGGAGTTGGCTCCAGCACTGGGTGAAACCGGCCTGACGGGAAAATCCCGAAAGGGAATTAGGAAAACAGACCTAATTTTTGGCAGGAAGGCCACTCACTTAAGAAACCATCACAGAACAAATAAAGCTTTTCCTAAGCCTGTTGGTTAGGACAAAACTCAAGACTTTTAAGCAAAAACCCTGATGAACCTGTTCACAATTACTACAGTCAACTTCAGATCATTTTTAAGGAAAACCCTGGTCCTCGGTTGGATGCTGGGTCTGCTCAGGTGGCCTTTAATTCTATGTTCACTAACAGGCTGAACTGGAATTTTTTGCTTCTCATTCAAAGGACCAAGATGGGATAGGAGCTATACCACCCACTCCAGAGTTAGTTAATTTAGCCAGCCAGCTCACCCCAGTAGGTCTGCCTAGAGGGAAGACCACTTAAATCCTTAATTCCAACTCCCAACAAAAGCAGTCCTTGTGGTCATGCTGTCACTGGAGAAGGCCAGGACGCTGGACAGCAGGCTTACGCCTACGTGCTCAGGCGCCTTCCGCCTCCCGGCCAGCCTGCACGCCCTCCCGGCCCCAGCATGGGGCCTTCCCGCTCCTCCCACTCACCTGGCCCGAGAGACAGCTCTCCAGACCGGAAATATGAATTCTGTCTGCCCTCCTTGACACTGGGGCTATACTCAGTGCCAACCCCGCTGCCACAGGGCAGCCTCTGCCTGGGAACACTGACCGCGTCAGACAAGCAGGGCCTCTAGTCACCCTCAACGGGTTCCTGTCTCCAAACCTGTTCCCTTTTACATACGCACCCTTTTCTCCCTAATTCTAATAGATTCCCTTGGTTTTCTCCTCAGTTCCTCCACCCCAGTGCACTTACTGGGCTAAGATGTCTTAGAAAAATATGCTGGAATTGCTTTCTCCCAAAAGGAGGAAAATGATCCTAGGATTTGACAGCAACAACCAAGAGAGCCAACTAGGTGAATCGAGTAACTCTTCAGCACCTTTTATTTGCTCCATTTCTGCCGGCACTGAAGCAAATTCTATGGGCATTAACCGATTTATCCCCACTGGCTCAGCTGCCACCCTTGTTATAAGCAAAGTCCTTAACCAACATTGGCAGAATCCACAGTGCACTCCCCTCAAGATTCAGACATACCCCTCAAAGCCTTGCCCCAGAATTAATGCCCTACAAATAAAGAGGCCCTTCAAGGCATCAAGCCCATGATAAGTTACAAGGCTTAGGGCTTCAAACTAAAAAGAAAGAGAAATGAGGAGAACAGTCCCATTTACAATTGCATCAGAAAGAATAAAAGACCTGGGAAGAAATTTAACCAAGGAGGTGAAAGACCTGTACTTTGAAAACTGTAAGACTGATGAAAGAACTTGTAGATGACACAAATAAATGGAAAGATTCATGCTCATGGATAGAAGAATTAATATTAAAATGGCCATCCTGCTCAAAGCAATCTACAGATTCAGTGCAATCCCTATCAAAAAAGCAATTACATTTTTCACAGAATAATGAGCATAAAATCCTAAAATTTGTGTGGATCCATAAAAGACCCCAAGTGGCCAAAGCACTCTTGAGAAGGAAGAACAAAGGTGGAAGTATAACACTCACTGGTTTCCAACTATACATCACCCAGGAGCCTCCTGGACCCCATCACCCTGCTCACAACCACAGCCACAGCCAGCGAGCCAGAGCTGCCAGGCCTGGGCAGTCTGCACAAGGCCACGCCTTCAACACCAGGAGAAGCAGCCCTTCTCACCTGATCCGTAGGTGCAGACATAGAAAGTCAAACAAAATGAGACAGAGGGATATGCTTGAAACAAAAGAAACAGTTAAGTAATCTACCTGATAAAGAGTTCAAAGTAACGGTTATAAAGATGCCCACTCGACTGGAGAGAAGAGTGGATGAGCTCAGGGAGGACTTTAATAAAGAGAAAGTATAAAAAGGAACCAGTCAAAGGTGAAGAATACAAATGAAAAATACACTAGAGAGAATTTACAGATTAGAAGATGGACAAGAACTATTTAGAAGACAAAGTGATGGAAAGCACTCAAGCTGAACAGCAGAAAGAAAAAAAGATAAAAAGAAATGAGAGTTTAAGGGACCTTGGAGACAACATCCAACATCGCTAACATCACGTTCTAGGAGGCCAGAAGATAGAAAGGGTGGGAAACCTCTTTGGAGAA